CCTCTGCTCCGCCGTGGTGGTCTACTGTCTGGCTCTGGTGGTCTTCTGCTCCGCCGGGGTGGTCTTCAGTCCTGGTCTGGTGGTCTTCTGCTCCGCCAGGGGGATCTTCGGTCCTGTCTGTTCTGCTGTGGTGGTCTTCCGCTCCACCTGTGCTGCCGGCTCCACCCTGGCTCTCTGCTCCGCCAGTCCTGCCTCAGTGCCCGGTCTCTCCACTTCCAGGTGGCCCTCCATCCCTCCCCCCTCCACTCCTCCACTCCACCGCCCTCCGGAATCGTAAAGGGTCGCACTACACACTGTTGCACATCACCCCGGACTACATATTCATTGCACCCCGGACTACATATCCCTTCATTCATTGCACTGATTGCACTCAGCACGGATTGCACACAGCTGTTAACACTGATTGCACCCAGCTGTTTCATATCACTCCCTCACTATTTAACACTCACTCTGATCCCTTCCCTCTGCCGAGTATTGTTTAGCGCATATCCTTAGATAGCTACACTACAGAGCCCTCATTAGTTTCCCTGCCTTAGCCTTAGCCTTGTCTGTTTTCTCCGGTTTTGATCTTCGCCTGTTTTCCTGGATTTCTCCCTTTAGCCTTGCCCCTGTGACTCTGTCTGCCAATCGTCGACCCATGCTAGCCCTAGGATTATTCTTGTGTCTTGCCCGCCATATTCCTGGTTGCCACTGTTTGACCCTGCCTGTCTTATGACCATGTCTCTGTCTTCTCCAAATAAAGCTTTGCATATGGATCCGCACGTCTCACGTCTCGTCAGCCCCGTAACAGATATCATGTGGTATGACCTCAAAAAACAATGAATATTAAGTTATTTCTGCAAGTATTTATTTTCATTATAAATTTCATAGTGACATTTTGTGGGAAGTTAGCTTGTTTTGTTTAGGTGGCCAATTCTGTGCTTTTAAATGTGGGTCATTTCAGACGGTTTGTTTAATCTTTGTACAATAGGAGAAAAAATGCAAAAAAGAATAATTCAGAGCATGTAATTTTTGTTTGGTAATTATGCATTTATTAGTAATTTATTATTTATTTATTAATAACTATTTAAATCTATTCTGCCAGATTCCACTGCCAAGCAAAGTAAAATAAACGCTCACCATAGGCAGCATGCTAATTCTGACCCTGCACTCTAGCACAAACTCCAGATGTCATTTTATACTATAAAGAAAGATGCTCATGTTGTTATCTCAGACGCTGAGCCAGCAACCTCCCCCTACTCTAAATTGACCTTTCGCAAAGACCTGTCCCCTTAGTTACTGTTGCTACGTCCGACAAACCATGGCACTTTTATGCCATACATCATGTTCTCACGCATTGAAAAATACATCACGGAGCAAAGAATACACTGACAATGAGCTGACAGACAAGACAGAGCTGGTTACTTTTAGTATGAAACAAAGTCTCCGTGTTCAAATTTGGACTTTTTTTTTTTAAAGAAATTCAAACAACAAATACTGTTTTGTGGCTCTTTAACGTGTCGTGACAGATCGCTGTAGCGCCTCAAGCGGCACATGAACTGATCATCTCTTCATCTTTACTACTCATAGCACGAAATAAACATGAATGAACAGGAGAAGGTATCTTGTTTCAACCGTGAAAAGATGTCAATACACACCATTTTTCAAGTTCAAGTCCACCGACGTTAATCTACTCTCCTGTCTGGTTTGTTTGTTGAACAAAAATGACGGATTCAGCGTTATAATATGTCAGATTGCCTGTTAATCAAACTCCAGGCGAAAGGGTCAATTGAGCAGCCAATATTGAGCAAAGTACAGAAATAACTGGGGCTAAAGAAATGCCTGCAGTTAATGCCACGTGCTGCACTTTTCACACGTCTTTTTAAATAGATTTTTAATGATATAAGGTCTTTATGTCATTTAGAGCGACCACTGATCATGTGGTGCGACCAATAATATCAATAACTGTATTAAATTAAAAAATAAAATATATAATTTCTGTGGTTGAAATATGAATCACTGCTACAGTATGCTTAAGTGAATGGTATTTTTAAAACATTTTTATCAGTTTTATGCAATATACAGGGAAAATAAGTAACTACATTTATTCATAACTACATTTAAGAAGGCAACTCTGAAATTATAGAACAAAAATAAGAGATCATTATTTACAAAAACTCAAATTAAATGCAAATACTTTGTTTCTAAACACTTTAATTACTGAGAACATTTAAAAAAAATGTTAAGCATGTTAAGGAAATTATTTAATTTTAATATAAATCATGGTCGCACCACATGACATTTTTTAAGGCTATGGCCAATTCATCTAGATGAAAAAATACTAAAATCACTTCATTTTAAATTTTAATATGAATTTATGTGTACACATTCTTAATGTTTGAACAATTACAATAGATATAATTTTTTGTATTTTAAAATTGGCCTGTCGAAAATTCTTATACGTCAATGACCCATATATACAGTGGGGAAAAAAAGTATTTAGTCGGTATATATATATATATATATATATATATATATATATAATATTTTGATGGTTGGCAGCAACAGGAGATGTGATGGATGAGGTTGAAGAATGTGAGAAAGATAGAGAGGACAAGTAGAGGACACAAGAGGAAATGTGGTGGGCCGCAGTAATGATATCACATGTCTTCTTTCAGCAGGAAATGATTAGTATTGAAGAATTTACAGCGTTAATCAATATCCCTGCCCTTTCTCTTCTACTTCTAATTAGCAGAGCTCAGAGGCTTGAGTTTTACATAATGACTGTGTCTGATGTCTAATATCTCTCTTTCTCTTTCTCAGGCCTGGGAAAAACGAAACGCAAAACGAGCACACGGGAAGCCTCTCCAACACCCAGCACAGATGAGTACTCGTCTAACGGGGGTGGAGCGGAACGAATATATGACCTGAACGCTCCAGCGGTGGTGAAGTTTGCCTACAATGCAGAACGGGAGGATGAGCTCAGCCTGGTGAAGGGAGCCCAGCTGATGGTGGTCACCTGGAGTGGTTCACCTAAATGAATATCGCCTTTTCCAAGTGATAATTGAAGCACTTGCCCATGGCCTCATTTTCTGTTCACACTTAGCTGACATCGAGATACAAGAAAGCCAACAGATGCAGCCTTCATCTGATACAGACTTCGACTGATAAAAGTCGTCACAGGGCAAGTGCACAAATACAGACGCAGTGGAATTACAGGAAACTATATACAATACATAGGAGTTGCCAAAGAGAGAGTGGTGACAGGTACTTGTCGTCCCCTGCTGGATGAACTGAGAAATGCCAACAGGAGGGTCTTATAAGATGAATGTTTTGTAGATGCTTAACCAAATGTGCCACCTTCACATTCAAGCACTGATCATCTAATATATATATATATATATATATATATATATATATATAAGAGACCTATATCCACCTCATTCAGATTGACACATATGTATCAACATTAAAGTGTTGACATAGACCTCCATATTACAGCAAAACACTGTTAGAGTTACTTTTCTAAAGGGCACCATTTGGTCTCTTTACAAATGAGTCCATTCAGCTTTTAGTTTCCGAGCTTTTATAAAAGTATGGTACAACTGAATGTTACTGAGCATTGTTATTTAAAACTGTGTTTATTTAACGTGAGAAAAAGAAGCTGCGGAGAAGGACATTGTAGTGAGCTCCACATCTATGATAGCTGTGCAAAAGTTTAAATACTTTTGTTTGATTAAACATTTTGCAAGAATAATGACAAAGTCGTGTGCTTTTTATTGTTTCTGGGTAATGTACAGTTCAAAAATTTGGGGTCAGTACATTTTTTTTTTAATGTTTTTGAAATCTCTTTTTTGCCCACCGAGGCTGCATTTATTTGATCAAAAAATACAGTAAAAAAACATAGTAATGTAAAGTATTGTCACAATTTAAAATAATTATTCTATTTGTTTTCTATATGTTTTAAAAATGTAATTTATTCATGTGGTGGCAAAGCTACATTTTCAGCAGCCATTACTCCAGTCTTCAGTGTCACATAATCCTTTAGAAATCATTGTAATGTGCTGATTTCGTACTTCGTATAAGAAATAATGTTTTTTGTTAAAATATTTCTGCTTAATATTTTTGAAACTTATTGTGATTTTTTTTTTCCAGAATTCTTTGATGAATATAAAGTTCTTAAAAATCGTTCATAACATTATACAGGGACTAAGAGTGACTCTTGAAGGACCAGCAGCACATCTTCTTGTACCACTGTTTGAAGAATTTATCTTCCAGAATCTGGCAGTAAGTTTCGGGAATTCATTTTTGTCCATCTCCTATCCTGAAACTCTCCTGCAGAGATTGACTAAAAATGCACCACATGGTACAAGAGGATGTGTTGCTGGTACTTCAAGAGTCACTGTCAACTTATCTGTCCATAAAGCCTATAAAAATTAGTATTTGTGTATTTCACAACACTTCAGCATATTATTCTTTTTAAGTGAGGGTCATTTCTTAGGATTTTTTTTTTAACCCAAGCAAAGTCTGAGAACCTGACACCTTGTAATTCTGGAGACTCCATGGGTTGCAGTTCTGGAAAATGGTTGCGCTGGAGACTAAATGGTTCCTGATGGTTTTACTCCTAATTCTTCGCATTAATTTGTAATTGCAGTTAACGTGTCTTTTCTTCTCCACCTGTTTTTTTTTTTCTGACCCCGCTGACCCAATGAGCGTTTTGCTGTGCAATGGTCATGTCTTAACTTTGCAATTTCTGTATTTGATCAGTTTTGAATATTTCTCATGGGGATTTAATAATTTTTGACTTTTCAGTCTGAGTTAAATCTCTTTTTTGGCTCATTTGATCAGTAAAAGAAAATGTCTATAATTATGCACACCTTAATATAAGGAGTTTTTTTACTTCCATGCTTCATGGACAATTATATATCACTTATAAATTATTAAATACAAAATTATTAGTAGTTATTAAGATTGATGTTGTTTGGAATTTTTAAAATGTGCTTGGAAAAAAACATGATCAGAATATCAATGTGCCTAATAATTATGCACGCACTGTAAATGTCTTTACTGTTACTTTTGATCAACTTAATGCATTCTTGCTAAAACACAAAAAAGAATACAATTGTTTTGAATACTGCATTGAATATATACGCCTACTATTAAAACGTATATGAAATAACATGCAACATGGAACAATATACATTGCTAAGAGGAGACTAGTTGTCATCTCAGAAATGGATATGCTTATTTGACTTTATTTGCAGTGGGGAAAAAAAACAACTTTTGGCAGTTCGAGTCACAGAGTAGATGTGTTTTTACTTTGGGTTTGTAATGCCTGAAATGGTAAGTCAAGGCGGGTCTATATATTTCTTATTATGATTTTAAATGTGTATTTAACCTCACAACGATCTCAAAGTCAAAAGAGGATTTAAAGTCTGAGTTTGTGGTGACTGCTTTAAAAAAAATTTTTTATAATAATTCAAGTGAAGAATTTTGAAAGTCTGACAGTAATTGGTGTTGAGTACTACTGTAAGGTTAACACTGTTTGAAAATGGTTAACAGTTGAAAACTTTAGAAAAAGTAGTCAAGAGTAATCAAATGTAATCAGTTACATTAATAAAGTAATTGAAAGTTACACTACTTATTACATTTTAAATAGGGTAACTTGTAATCTGTAACCTATTACATTTCCGAAGTAACCTTCCCAACACTGTGTGTGTGTGTGTGTGTGTGTGTGTGTGTGTGTGTGTATATATATATAAAATTATTTCCATATTGTGCACTATTACTACTAGTAGCATACAATAAAGTAGCCTCCAATAAAGTCTTTGTGCTTGCATGTACTGCTCACTAGAGGGCGCTAAAGTATTTTGCCGTATTAAACTATGCTATAAACGGTTTATCAAAGTTTGGCAACATTTTGGAACCCAGGGACACCCACTCAGACTTTCAGCCAAGCCAGGGACCTCTAATATGAAAATGCTAGCAGAACCTGACCAGACATTTCATTAATATTATTAACAAGCATTATTAGATTATACTCTAGTTATCAATTGTTATGTCCTGCATTTATTGCATTGCCTGCCTGAAAAATAGCCACATCTAGAAATATTTAGAAACATGTGGAACGCTTTCATTTTTTTAAGGCAATGACTGTTATATATAAGGTAAAAGTTCTGCAGTTGATTTTAAGTGTGCCATTTGCAATTGGAAGCTGTTGTTGTGAAGCCACATCATGAGGTCAAATGATGTCTCCATGCAGGTGAAACAAACGATTGTTAGGCTTCCAAAACAAAACTAATCCATCAGAGAGATAGCAGGAACTTTAGGAGTGGCCAGATCAACAG